AGTTGTCAAATTTTTTTCAAAAAAGATTTTTGTAATATGCTTTCTATATCCTTTTAAATTCTGTAAAATCTGTGGTAATGTCTCCTAGATCTAAACATTGTAATTTAAAAAATGTATAACTGATATTGTGTAACAGGAAGAAAAGGTCTAAACGAGCAGGGGAATTGGGAGGGGTAGGGGAAGGGAAAAAAGGGAAAGGAAAAAATATGAGAAGAGGTAAACAAAATGGAAACAAGGTCTTTGCAAATAGGGAAGGGTGGAGGGGGTGAAGGGAGGGCAAGGGAAGGGGAAATAAAAATAAGAACCAAGAGATTCATGTAATGGTACAAGATTCCAATGATGAATGTAACTGTATTTTATACCTAAAATGTACCAATAAAGTTAATGGGGGGGGGAAGTGATTGTAATCAGGTAATTATATGGCTGGAATAAAATGAAAAGCCTATTTTGTCAACATCATTCTTTTAATTATAACCTTTCAATTGTCACAATTTCATGTACCTTCAAAACTAAGCAATTGAGGTGAAATTAAATTTGTCACAGAAGTTCAAAGAAAAAAGATGCCATGTAACCATAAAGTTGTTATGGATACTCTGTTTAAAATGTTGGTAGGAATGTATTCTACAACTTCAAAATACTCTTCCTTTAATATTTCTGCAGCAAGTCACATGATATTGTTAAAATTCATAACTCATACCCTTTTGCAAACACATAAAATTATGCTCAACTCTAGCTAAAATGGTCTTGTCTTAGAGAAAGAGAAAAAATCAGTTTGGATGGTTAGAACATCTGTGAATGGGTTAGGGAATTTGGGGTGTCATGAAAGACAGAGAGAGGGACAAGATTTAAGATGGAGAGATGACCTTATCTCTGGCTCTTTGCTATCTGCACCCAGATGTTTTTCTCTGTTAGCTAAGAGGAAGGGAAGGGATGGGGTAGTAGCGTTGAGTGAGGGGCTACCAGGTTTTTGTTTTAAAGGAGAGTATGTGGGGTTTTTATAATGAGTTATTTATAATCTAAAAGGAAAGGGAAAGGCCCTTTAAAGTTTAAACCAGAAGCAGGAAAGATGCCTCAATGCATTTGTATACTCGCCTAAGTTTGATCTTAGAATTTGTTGGAGCTTAAAATGAGCTACACTTGATCTTAGCCAAAAGGCCGAGAAGCGATTAAAATAAGCTGATCTAACAAGAAGCTCAATTGTTATAGAGGGGTACTAATAGTCACAACTCCATGGATTCCTGGGAGGCCAAAGTGCCCATCATTAGTACATCAGGTGAGGTAGGCATCTCATAGGGCCACCTACTGGGCTCTGGCAAACACAGTGCCTGACAGCAGCATACTAACCATAGCTGACATGACAGCTTTTTTTTTTTTTTTTTTTTGGTACCAAAGATTGAACTCAGGTCCTTGTGCTTCCAGGGCAGGAGGCAGAACCACTGAGCTAAATCCCTGGCCCCATGACAGCTTTTTAATGCCTCAGTACATTGTGACAAGAGCGGCTGTACTTACAGTTAAAGAATAGACAGAAGGCTCCAGGTTGTCTAGATCTCTTTCCAGTGGAGAAAACTTCTGATACATGGGACAGTTCTTGTCCCACAGAACTGGTGGCTTCAAAACATAACCACAGCCACCATTTGCCTCAAACATAGCAGCATTTAAATGTAAAGGGAGATCTGCAAAACAAAGAAAGCCAACACTACTTGTTACTTTGTTCCTTAAGTGTCATAAATTTAAAATTGAAAAGAACTTGGCATCTATTTTCCAGAAGCTCAAGAATGAAGAAGAGAGTATCAGCCACTTGTTCCCTGAACTGATGAAGGAGTGCCTATGTGCCAGGTTGTGGTAGGCATCAGAGATACAGCAGGTAACAAGAGAAACAATCTCTGTTCTCTCACAGAACATACAATCTATGGAAATGCCTGGTGTTTCCACTCTAAGCCGGCAAGTAAAAATTTACCACATCCATCATAAAATTCTTATAAAATACCTCATTTTACCCTGAATTTTGAAATAATGTCATTTTCTTAACTCCAAACACCAAACCATGTAGACAAGTATAGGGCCAATTCTTGCTATTTTAAAGGAGAGGTAAAACCTTAACTACACAAGAAAATACAGCCAGAAAAACAGCTTTTTCTTGAAATCTCAATTTCAACCCATAAATTACTTTTACCTCTTTTTCTATTGTAGTTAAATATGAAAAAAATCATCATCACATATGATTCACATCATGTGCACAATCCCCTCAATCATAAATTTTAGGAATCCTCACAAAGGCTTTGAGTCTTTTGTGGCCAAATTTTCTTTGGCACAGTTATTTGATGAATGGCTGGATTCTTGCACTGTTTTTGGACTCTTCCACACTTACATGCTTATCTGATGGCTCAAGTCTGTATAAAAGTCCCCAGATGAGCAAAAGGTTTATGAGACACACCTGACACATGTTCCCTCTGATAGATTCCTTCCATGTGCAGAATGAACTTTGCTACCTGGACCAACATCAAGGAAAAGTGTAGTAAGAGCCTTGGAGCAACAAGAAGTTGGCTCCTGCTCTTAAAGTCTTATGTGTAAATTGCTTCCGTGTATTGGAGCTTGGCCAGGATTGTGTGCAGAATTCTTGGGACAAGATGTCTTATATACATAAGAGCTCTGTAGGCCCCAACCTTTCCTTCTCTGGCAAATACATGCACGGCACCCACTTCAGTACTGATGTGATTGATTCACTGAGGCCATGTCCTCTCACCTGCAAGGGCAGAAAATTTGTTCCCTGGCCATTCTGACAGAAAAAGCAGACATGGCTAGGATGGCAAAAAGAGTGAAACGAACTAGCTCACAAGAGGTGGGTAAGTCTGAAGTGGCTATACATAGATTGAGGATCCTTAATCTGAAAATCCGAAATGCTCCAAAATATGAAACTTTTAGAGTGCTGACCTGACACCATACATGGGAAATTCCATGCTTAACCTCATATGGTGGGCTGTGATCACAACACATGAACACTAAAAATATATAAAACTATCCTCAATCTACGTATATTAGGTATATATGAAGCAAATTCTGTGTTTAGATTTGGATCACATCCTCAAGATATCTCATTTTATATATGCAAATATTCCAAAATAAGAGAAAATCTGAGTCTAAAACACTTCTATTTCCAAGCCTTTTGGATAAAGGATACTCAACCTATATTCCTAATAGAGCAATAGTGGCTCATACTTATTGATTATAATTCAGGTTTGTAGCTAGATCTTACTAGTATTGTGTCTATCCTAATAGCTTTCCAAAACTTTAAGACACTTTTCTTAACTAAGATCTCATTTGGTGACCCAATATGTAAAACAGATCCACATGGAGTTGCTTGGTTTGAAATAAGAATGGGACCCCAAATCTAGCTCTTTTACTGTTCCCTGGAAGTGGTCCCAGAACTTCACCTGGGACTATAGTTTGAAAGCCCCTGTTCTAGCCAAGTGAATGAATGTGTAGGAATCAATGTAGAATAAGAGACTATTGCTTTTATGGTCTTCTATTCATTTACTTGTATTGAGTAACACCATTCTCATAATATTTATCCTTATGTTTGGATCCTGGAATAGCATCATAAAAAGCACAACCATTGTTCACCAAAACATAATAAATTTTTTTTTTAAAAAAGAGGCTTTTCTTTTGATGGAGGTTGCATGTTTACATATTTGCAGGTCCTGTGTATGAGGTGGGAATCGTTCTGCCCTAAATGGAAAGAACCAAGAGACTGCTGCCAGTAATAACCAGAGGTTTTCCTACCAGCCCTGGGTCAGTCTCCACAATTGAGAACTGATTTTATTGAGTGTAGACCTGCTATAAGCTGGTTCCAGATCACTTCTGACATTCTTGGAGTTCAGCAGAAAGCTTACAAAGAAATGGCCTAGCTGTGTCCACAGACAACCATTTGGGGCATCAGAGACCCTGACACCCAGGAAATGGCAAGGCAGATGGTCCTTGGCACATATTGGGAGTCTAGAGGCACAGTGGGAGGCATTATGGAAAGCCAAAGCACTCCTAACCTAGGAATTATTTTCAACAATTAAAAAATGGCAATTTCAGTGTTGTTGCTTATCTGTCGACTTGACTTTGCAATGCACAAAACAGTAAGTACCTGGAAGAGCTTTGGACCAAAAATCAAGAACCACAGGTTCAGATTGCAGTCGGGCTGACAGGGACATACTGCTTTGGCTCATGGCAGCATGCATTTATTGTGCATCTGCTATGTGCAAGATATTGCACAGGCTCTAACCCTAATTTACAGAAATGACTATTTTTACAGATGGCCACCCTGATGCTATATGTAAGGGGAGAAGTTTAATCGAGGCTTGCTGCATTGAGTCAATAGGTTAGATGACAGCTCTCCTCCCTCAGTTGGAAGACTGTGCAGAAGAGCTTGAGGATGAACCACATAACATAGACATCTGCTTCTGGCTTGATTCTGACAGGTGCAAAGCCTTCAGGTGTGAGTGCAGGGCCAGCTGCACTTCATTCAGCACATACTGCCAAACTGTGGGGTGACCCAAGAAATGGCAACTCTTTGCATTCCCCTCAGCTGGTGCTCCCTGTGCCATTAGTGGAGCCAGTGTGTCTGCATCAGTTTTGGCACTTCAGGACAAAAGGCACATCCAAAACCAAATGCACTTCCATTTCCTTGAGAAAAACATTCTGCTCATTATTTCAGTGTACTTAAAATATTTTAGTATTATAATAACCGAGGGCACCAGTGAACACAGGGCTACAGGCTGGGCCAGGGATGCGAACCCACAAGCCACTCACAAAGATTAAAAAAGAAATGGAAAATAAAATTTTTACAACTTTGAAAGTGTTCCACCGTTATTTCCATTTGTGGATCCAAATCACACTGTTTTCATAACTTATCAAACACACTTAAGGTTATTTGTGGAATGCTTTCTATGTGCCAGGTGCTATGGTAAGTATCACCTGCATCATCTTAGGTAATTTCAATGGAAAAAGTAAATACAATAGGGGCAAGAAAAACCATGACTGATATCTCTGTGTCTTTGGGATCTGCCACATGTGGGTAGTGATACCAGATGTCTAGCTAGTCCCAGAGCTGTGATTTGACCTTTGCTGGTGATGAGGCTCTGCTGTGCTCTTTTGGTTCAGAATGGTTAGTTAGGTTCGGATTCAGTTCATGTGAAAGGAATGATAAGGGCTGCCATTGCTCAGCTGTTCAAAGGGAAGACTGGTTTGTTGAATGAGCTTCTAGGAAACACTTCTCATCACCTCTTTCCTCACCTTCTGTAACTGCCACCCTCTTTCATAACCAAGTGGGCACAAAATGCTTTATTCTTCAAGTTCTCAGAGGTCTTGAATTTATTATTACAAGTCATTCAGCAACCTTGAACAAATTAACTACTTTGCTGTGTCTTGCTCATCTGAGAAGTAAGGATCATAAGGTACTACTTCTTAGGGTGGTTAAGATTAAAAGGATAATAGGAGTCAAACACTCACCATAGTGTCTGGCCCATATGAGCATGTAATAAGTGGAAACTTTTACTTTGGAGTTTTAGGACTCATGTCAGTCTCACCGACAGCAGAGAAACAGGAATATCACTCTCCCTATTCATTCAATTCATGTACTTGTTTTCCTTTTATTAGCTCCCCGTAGATAACTGACTGGTATTCTCCATCTTGATTTCAAAGGAATGAAAAGAAGCTAAAATGGTTTTAATTTGCACAGTGTTTAGAGAGACACTACTGGTTTTTGTTTTGTTTTGCGATACCCAGGGCCATACACAGGCTATGCAAGCACTCTACCACTGAGCTACATTCCTTGAAAGTATTATTTTCTTTTGTCCTTTTTTTGGGGACATGGACTATGTATGTTGCCCAGGCCGGCCTTGAACTGAGTTCAAGTGGTCCTTGCTTCAGCCTTTGTACTGCCTATAACTATAGATGCACATCACCATGCCTGGCAAGAACAATTAGAAATAGAAATAGAAAGACAAGTTCAGTAAGCAATGCTAGGAAATCCTTGTCTCAAAAGATCTTTAAAATCAAACTAGATATGACTCTGTGAAAAGGAGTCTATGTTTAAAAAAAAGCTTTAAAAAGGGGGCATGACTCCCCCTCTTTTTTGGTACCGGGGATCTCCCCTTTTAAAGATACCTCTTCATTGTTCTTCTCTATCACCTTAACTCCAAAACATCATGGGGAAAAGGTCAGTATCAAATTCACTTTTTTTTTTTGGTACCTGGGATCGAACTCAGGACCTTGCACTTGTAGGACAGGCAGTGGAACCACTGAGCTAAATCCCTGGCCCTCAAATTTACTTTTGTTTTCTATTCTCTGTATTCTGCTCTCACATGTTGTGTCCCAGTCTGGAGTTTTGCCCCTTTGAAAAATGCTTGTTGAACCACATTTCTGAAATATGAGATACAAAAGAGCAAGATGAGGATGCAGGTCCATTACCGTCTGTCTGGTAGTTGAGTGCCACGAGTTGTATGCCATGGAGCCAGAATATGAGGGGGTTAGGGTTAGATGAGTCAATGCGGGTGGCAGCCGGGTAAGTCCTCAGCAGCTGACAGGTGGTGTGCTGGATCAGTTTCTGAGAATACCTGCGACACAGACGTTTGGCGGCATTTTCATTCAGCGATGAGATATGATAGCATTTGGGAGTTCTAATGATAGCGCTGAGGGACGTGGTTGGGTTGAGGGGGGAAGATGATTCCTCCCATGTCTGTCGAATTCCTTCATAGGAACCTAAACTCCGCAAAAGATCAGCCTCAGATTAGTGTAGAAAACTTTAAATATTTTAGAAAAATAAACACAAATGACATCTCATAAACAGTCATAACACATAAGTACATCAGAATACATCTTGCATTTTACTTCTGAGTTACTTTATTACCTTGAAAAAACATGGTGGTTACTGAGCTTTCAAACGAGGGTAACAGGCTGGGGGTATAGCTGAGTGGTAGAGAGTGTGGTTGGCGTGAGCAAGGCCCTGGGTTCAATCCCCAGGACCCCAATTAAAATACAATAAAGTAAAAGGAGGGGAGCAGGACAAATTTAAATTAAAAGCCTGGAAGTCCTTTCCCTCAGTATCTCATCTGCACTGTGGGTGTATTTGTGCAAATACACAATAATATATATACAAGGATATAAAACCTACACACACACACACACACACACACACGCACCCCACAGGAAGCAACCAGAATCTATCAGTGACAAGGTGATTAAATAAATTACAATATATTCACAATGGACTATCACACAGGCATTAAAGATAGTAAGATAAATGTATAGAAGGTTATGTGAAAATTTACAGTAAGTATAAAAATTATACAAGTATGCTCAGTTATATCACATTTGGATTGTCTTAAAAAGGATCTTGTTTTTCTTGAACAAAACACAGTAAACTTAACAGTAGTTACCTCTGGGAAGTAGAATCAATACACTGAGTGGAAAAGAATTTTAATAATAGTCTGTATTATTTGAGCTTTTAACTGTGAGAATTTATTACTTTCACAATAAAAAGTAATTAGAAATAAAATGGATGTATCTTCTGGGTAGGAATGCAGTTCAAGAACCACTAGAATGTTCTAAGGTGCTTCCAATTTTTACTTTTGAGGCAAATGATGCTAGAATATCTTTAGTTAAATGTTATTTTTAGTGAGTTAAAAGTATAAATTAGCAGTTACAAATATTTATGCCACACTTAGACAATATGAACATTCATGCATGAAAATAAAAAAGACTTTACAAATTTAAAGGAGGTGCTGAGGCAGCAAAATATCTGAATCATTCGGCATGCAGGATCAACCAAAGATATTGTAAGAAGGTGACTTTACTTTTTCCAGATGTTTTGTTAAATGATGCTGTCTCCCCTGTGCTCATTCTGCCCGGATTGTTGCCAAAAATGGACTTCCTGCTTTTCCTTTCTTTTCCTCTGCTACAGCCAGATGCATTTAGAGTTGACAGGCCTGTTCCCATAAAATGAAAATAAATAAGCAAAAAACTACAGGCAAGGGAGCTCAACATTTTCCATCCCTGTTAATGTTTATTTTGAAGTACTACTATTCCCTTGCAACCAAGCTCAGAAGTATAAATGCTAGCCTCTTTAGCACTGTTAATAATAGTACTGTAGGAAAGTATAGCCAAGTTTTTATCTTGGTAGGTAAATGCAACAAGAATTACATGCTTATTGCAGAATAATTACAAAATCCCTCCCCCATACCCATAGTTGATTGTACATCTGAAAGATTTTGAAAAACTGTATGAAAAGAAAGTGTTGCAAAAAAGGGAGAAAGTGTTGCAGTCAATATTTAGTTACCAGAGGCTAATTATTCAATTTTGAGAGATGAAAGAATGGCTATAAACCCAAGCTTTAGCATCACATTGCTGAGGTTCAATTCCTTCTGGTATGAGCCCAGTCTTAATATTGTACTTTCTCTGTCCTTCAGTTCCTAGTTATCTACAGAATGGGTGTGATTATAGGAATTCACTCATAAGGTTAGTCTGAGCATTCAACGGGAAATATATTAAGATGAGAATGAAGTTTCATGGCTTCTCTTTCTCACTTCTGGTCCAAGAACTCCCTGGATCCATCAGCCTGGCATAGTGCCTGGTGCATAGAGGATCTTAGTACATATTTGTTGGATGAGAAAATGAAGCACACCACACAGACCTGGCTCCAGTGTAAGAAGAGTGATTTAAAGACTCCAGTGAAGCCAGAGTTGCCTCCAAACCATTCCCATTGTCTGTAATTGTACTGTTGGAGAGTAATTCCTTAATTTGAAGCAGGAATAAGAGGTTTTCTGTAAGATGAAAATATACTTTCCAAACACATCATCACAGAAGACAGGATAGAGTAGTTTTGAAGAGCATAGATGTTAGGATGAAAAAAATTGAGGCTCAGAGAGGGACTCTGCCTTGGATAAAGTCACAGAGAATAGGTAGCACAGAGTTCAGGCCTCTGATCAGTTATCTTGGCCAATGATCTTGTCACCATCTATTATTTCTCTTGGCTGTACTCTTAATTGGGGAATAGTTCGAGACACAGGGGTGCCCAAACACATGCCTATAACTGCAAGGAGTTACAAAAGAGGAGACCTCATACGGGTTGAAGAGTTTCGGATAGTTCACAGGGACCCTGGGCCTTGGAGTGTGGACAGTGGCAAAGGGAGAAGAGCCAGGTTGAGTAGACTGAGAAAAAGCCCAGCAGGGGGAAAGACCATGATGTATGTAGGTGCCTGATAAGAATAAGGGATACAGGGGAGCTCACTGGGAAGTATCCAGAAACTATGTAGGTGGGGTACTATGATAAAATACCATGTCATTTTTTATATTAGAATTAGAAAAAACCAGAAAGATATAAGTACTACATATACTATACATATAAATAATACATATACTACACATACTTGAAAACCAAATGCTATCAGATAGGAGATAATACATGTAGAAAAACAGCTACTTCCTTGGCCATAAGTAAAAACAGACAATGCAGTGAGAAGAACACAGCACTGAGAACTGAGACACCTGCCTTCTGGCTCTTGCCCTGCCACTGAACAGGTTTATAATCATTGAGGAAGCCACTTTTCTTCCATGGGCCTTGGGCCACAGGATTTTTGGGTGCCTTGCTGCTCTGCAGGTGTTTCACATGTTTCTTGAGAAGGGGATTGGGATGGTGAAAGGTAAGACACATTGAGACTGATAATGTAACTTAACTTATCAAACTTAAAAACAATAGAGTAACAAAATCAACATAGTATGGTATTTTCCTCATGTATATCAAAATTATGGTAACAATAAATGTTTAGGAAGTATTATAACAGTGATTCCAGCAACACACTTATAAAAATATGTGTTATATAAACACATTTAAGCAACATACTTGGAATTTTAAAAATAAGCCAAACAACCACATGCTTACCTGTGCTTCAAGTCAGAAGCTAGACCAAATGACTTCTTGAACCTTCCACAATTCTCTAATGGTATAGAGACCTAACTGACTTCACATATCTATGGTTCCTAATTACTCAGTTCTCAAGAACTGACAAAGCCAGTGGAATGGTTTGTATATATGTACTGTCACCTGCATTTATACAGAATAAGAGACGCAGTGTGACTCTTGAACAGTGTGGCCCTTACACTTGACCTCAACACAGAGAATATGCCAGCCATGATGCTCTTGACAGGTAAAGGATTTCCTTCCACCATAAACATAGTTTCACTGTGTGCAAATATGATTATAATGTACTTATGTGACATAACGACATGCTCAGTAAAACCACATGTAATTGCTAGCTTCTTGCATTTCTTTGAAATCTTTGTTGCTACTTGTATGCTCATCTCTTCAACAGCATTTGCTAGCAGAGAAGCAGTAGTAGCTGCCAAAAGTTTAAAAACAGTTGCTGTTTGAAAACCTAAAATTAAGAAAATTTTAATGTATGATTTTTTTCCTCCGTGGTGTGTGTGAAAAGGCCACTTAGTAGTGGCCTTTAAATTTGAGGTAATTTTAAAATTACTTCAACACCTCTGTCCCATTGGCCAGGAACAATATGAAAACAGGTGGTTAAGCTAAGCTCTAGAAGCCAGGATCTGAGTTAAGACCATCTTGAAAAGATGAGGGCTGGCATTTTAACTCCCCTCTCCAGGCCAAGTACACATATCCTATTTCATCTTCAGATGGATCCTCCAACCCCAGCTTTTTCTTGTCCTCAGATACCTTGTAGAAGATAATTCTTTTTCTTGGTGTAAGAAAATAACTTTTTCTGACTTCCATATATTTATAGGCTTTCTTGACTTTTCTACCTCTTGGTCTCCCATTTGTGGGATACATAATTGGGTGAGCTCACAAATAACATATCCTACCAGGAAAGGCAGCATTGTGTGCAAGTCAAGCAGGACTTTGGAGGTAGACAGGCTTCAGAATCATAGATCTACCATTTACTAAATGAAATGAACACTCTTTTGAAGAAGTGGCTCATCACCATAAGTTCACTGTACTTTTAGAAATGGCCAATTGGGAAAATGTCCTCCCCTACCACAACACCATCCTTGGTCCTTGTGGTTTGGGTGGAGCCTCAGGGATGGAGCACATGTGACTTAGGCCCCAGAGTGATCAGACCAGCACATCCCCTTAACTGCAGTGATTGCTTAAGGTTTAGGTGAAGAACCCAATGAGAAAAAATAAAACTGCCGGAAGTTCTGAAGAAACTGTTACATCAAAGCTGAGTCTAGAAGTATGAAGTGTTTGCCTGCTACAGCTATCTTGCAACCACATAGGGAATAAAGCCAACAAAGTGGCTGTAGAGTGACACACAAGCAGAGAAAAAGCATGTAATCTGGGTTAGGCTTCAACCAAAACTTGCATATCATCATTCTACATTGTTCCATACATGAGTCAATAAATTTTCTTCTTCGCTTAAGCCAATATTTGCACCTGTCAAACAAGAATCTTAACTGATGCGTTCTGAAACCTCAGGCAAATTACTTTATCTCAGATTTTGTTTGACTTAAAAATGAGGATAATATCATCAACCTCACAGAATTATTATGAATAGTCAAAGATGTCTATATAAAATACTTAGCATAGGGCCGGGGATTTAGCTCAGTGGCTCTGGTGCCTGCCTCGCAAGTGCAAGGTTCCAAGGTTAATCTCCAGTACCAAAAAAACCACAAAACTTAGCATAAAACCTGGTACTTAAGTGTTTAATACATTTCAATTGTTATATGTTAAAAATATTATTATTAAATTTTATGGAAAAATATTGTTTGGTCTGCAAAATGAACTTTTATGGTATTTTTCCTCATGTGCATCAAAGAAAATTATAATAGACATTATGGTCATTATTTGTTTACAAGCAAATTAGAAGACATTATAACCATTATTTTGACCACACCATTTAGTTGTTTTGGAGTGTTCACAATTCCCAATTAGATAAATAGAAAACGTTTATCACTTGGTATCTTTAAACGTTATAATAACATGTCTACTTTTACCTGGAAATTTTACTGCTTGGCAATAGATGACAAGGTCAGAAAGCTCTGGTGCAATCTGTCTGCTTTCTTTTTTATTCTGAGGAAGATAAAATTCTTCGCCCAGTTCCATGTCATAAACCTATTATGGGAAAATGATACAATTTTACGTCGAAGGTATATGTGGCTCAGTTTTGAATCTCCAAAGGTCTTTACCTGTACTTCTCTGGTGTCACCAGTGTGCTTTTCCTCGCTCAGTATTTATCCACATTCATGTCCTAACAACTTCCTGAAGTAAAAGCTTTCTGAGGGCAAGGGACTAATCTAATTCATCCTTTATGTCCCTCATCATGTCCCATAGCCCTAGCCCACTACATACAGAATGGTTTTTCTACTCTGTGTCATTCTTCTGATAACATGTCACAATGTGGCCCCCATTTATCTGTAAAGGGATTGTCCCAAATGCCTTTAAAGGTTCTTGCAATTTCCTTAACAACCAGGCTGTCCCTTAGTCTGACTGAATGCCCTGTTTTTTGTCTGATTGGCTCAATTTTCCTTCTCAAGCATTGCTGCTCTTTGCATTTCTCTACAGGTCTGTTCCCATCACTAGACTAGCTTTTGTCCTGGTTGAGAGCCTGTACAAATATGTCTTTGATAGATATTGGTTGGATGAATCAATGACTAACCTTTACCAGTAGCAGGTAGGTGTCCCGTATTATTATCACCCTGTGGATGTTGGCATTAAGGGACAGTGAGTCAAAGGTGAAGACAAGGGATAGGGAGGAGGTGGAATCCTACCTGTGACAAGGGAATCATGGTCCAAGTATCACTTAACATAAACCATTTACCTACCTTCCCTTTGTTGCAAGCAGAATTATCTGCTTTCTTTATCCTCTTGGGGATTTCTTCATTGTACTCAAACTGAAGCTTGTCATTGCATGATTTATTTTCAGGTCTGTCTTCCAGAATGTTGTCTGAAAGTGAGTTAGCAGGTTTCAGTGAAAAAGAACTGAATGCTTCAATTAAGGGCTGCATGAACATCCTTGTGAGGACATCCAGATACTTGTACTTATCTGAAAGTCTAAGGCTTTGGCTGTATGTTACAAAACGACAGCCTGAAGCATAATTTCAAAAACTGGGTTGATGTAATTGATTTCAGTTTAACTGACTCATTTACTAGTAGGCATAGTGTAAATGAGAATGCTAATTGTCATACAGATGACTGGAACTGTGCAAATCTGAGGGGAGATATTTTGTGTCAAGAGGCTGATGGCACACAAGTTTGGGAAGAATTTAGTTTTAGTCATCCTTACTTTGAAATGAAGCTATTTGTTTCTTTTACCTTGAGAAATGTCAAAACCATTGTGTGTGTAGGCTGTTATGTACAATGTAAAGTTTTCACAATTATAATTAATTGGAAAGTAAATTTTTCATGATTGTTGATTATTAAGTGATAATCTTAATAGTAATTAAAACAAATATATCTAAGCATGATGGATAATCTTATTCTTTGCTTTTATTGGCATTTCTATTCAGAATGAGTATACAAGTATTAGCAGTATGTCATGATTATACTCTTTTAAAATGAAAAACAAGAATGTTGATTTCTCAAGTAAGATTTATTATCTCATCAGACCACAAATGCTTACACCAAAATATCTTTATAGCAAATCAGAGCCATGCAGGGTGCCAACAAGTAAGAGAGATCAATCATTTCATTACATTTGTAATCACAGAGTGTTACAACTTCACGCTAATCAGGCCCAAGAAATTGGAAACAAAATGTGACATCCATGCAGTTAAAATGGGGAAGGCTAGTTCAAATAGTGTTTACCTTCCTGATCGTTAGGAGCAGGGGAAGCAGTAAGAACATCTGCCACAGAAAAACAGAATCAGAAAGGGTATACAAGTAAGAAGAATTAAGACAAAAAGCCAGGTAAATTAAACCAAGGCATGAAGTGCAGCATAAATAACAGCTTCAATTACAAGATAAGTGAAACAAGAAATGTTCTGTAGATTTAACATTTTGACTATCAAAGTATGCAAAGGCTAGCAATAAAAATATACCAATATTGTTAATCATGCCAGTGGTTGCCACAATCATGCTACATATTCTCAGTTACTGACTATGGTATTACTCCCAGTATGACTTTATTTCAAATGGACAAAAATAAATTAATTTGTTAGAATCATGCATTGTTATATGTCTACATTAAGTTATAAATTCAGACTTGTGCTCTAGTGCATGGTCAAAATTAATCAAGGTAAACAAGGTTGGGGGGATAAAATTCAATGAAATAAATATTCATTAAGAATTTATGATCCAAAAAACAGAGTAACAATTCCTAAAATATATGACCTTCATTTGAAATTTCCTTGGGGGTTTCTTGAAGTAATTCTGTGACTAGAATTATTTAACAGTAGCATATGGATGCATTCAGAGGACAAACTTCCATAAAGCATGGTCTAGCTGCAAGGATTGTTTGGGAATCAGCCAGTTAGAAGACTCTTCAATGAAATGGGAAATAGTCATGTAGTGGTAATGGACTTTAAAAAATTGTCATAGATCATGGGTATTGGTGCTAGAAGTAGAGGGAGGGCATCACCAAACACTGCACAGAAAATTTACATTACCTTTTAAGGGATCAAGCCTGAGAGTGGTGAAAAGACATTGCCCAAGTCTTCACAGACCTCTGGAGCAGACTGGTGGGGCTCTATTGTCTACTGATACCCCAACCTGGCACACGTGGGTTTTTAAAAATGCATGCAACTGTCTTAGAATTTTCTCCAATCTGAAAATAACTCACAAAGAGCCTTCTCCACTGGTTTGTTATTTGCAAATCAAAAACATTTATAATAATGATTTTTAAAAGCCACTTCTTTTCCTGTTTTCAAAAGTACAGAAAAAAACCACAAGATTAATTTATGATGGAGAGTGAATTTGTCTTCCAGTGGACTAACTTCTTATAGAGGCAAATGACATAAAGATTGGTTGATTTCTTTTTTCTTAAATTTTTATTTATTTTTATTTATTTATTTTTTTGGTTGATTTCTTAAGTGTGGTTTTCATATCATACTCCGAACCAATTTGTTCTTCTATAGGACATTATCACAATTGTAGTAAAATCCATAAGGAAGAATATAAGTCTATATAAAAATGTCCACATTCCCATGACTTTTGAGGAATAGGCTGTAAAGACACTGTCCTGACTCCTCTTAATTTTGTCCTTCTTATGATCTGATAAGATGTGCCCCTTGTGTTATAGAGTTTCAAGTCAATAAATTGGCCTTTAGTTGATGTAATGAATCAGTCAACTATAATGAAGGACAAATATTAAATAGAGCCATTGGGGGCAGAAAAAGACTGGACTTGTCACCAGCGATGAAGGCTCATGAGCGTGAGAAGCAAAGATTTGGAGGAAGATTAGTTACCTCAACACCAGTGGTAAATGGTTGCTAGACTGGAAATATCTACATATTTAACAAAAGAATTAGCCTATCTAAAAACATTCTAAAGACATTATATTTATATAAATAGGAACCTTGACATTTTCTCATTAATATGTTGCTGTCTTTCAGAAGTTGCCAAAATGAATCAGCCTACTATCATCAATGGTGCTGGAGAAAACATTTGGCAAAGCCCAGGAAATGACACTAATTTAGTGCAAATGAAATACACTTGAAACCTAGTTCTCACATAAGAAGAACCCTTCCTAGTAAGTAATCTGCCCTAACATCATCTATATGGCTCTTTTGTATTGTGTCATTAGCCATCACTCCTGTTTCTTCTCTTTGGTGGGGCTAGAAGGAAACGTCTTCTTGTTTGTAATCTGAGAACCAGGGAGGGAAGGGGACCGAGGCACCTTTCTTTTCTGTACTCTAGAATGCCAGAATAAGAGGAATGCCGGCAGAGGAAGAGGGCGCACAGAGTAGTGATGCTGCCCCCTGCAGGTAGTGCTGGAAACAGGATTTAGTCATTTTAAAATTCCTGCCTTGGAGCCTCAGCCGCGTTCGAAAAGGAAAGGATGAAAACAGAGCCTCTCTGCTATCATTTAATCTCTTCCTCTAGAAACACAATTTAGCATCCCCCCCTCCCCGTTTCTTCCTACACCATCGTCTTCTTTCTTGAGTTGTGGCTGTAGTGGCTAACAGAATCCTTTTCCTTCCTTGGTCTTTGCTTAGTGACGGGGTTCAGAAACTCCCAATGTTAGAACAATCTGTATTGTTGGTCTATGGATTCGACTTAGTTTTTGGGAAAAAAATGGAAAATCATTCAAGCATTTCCCCGCACGCAGCACTGGGCTCTGTTTCTCTTACCATCAGAAAGGGATTCATAATCATAATCATATTCATCTTCTTCGTCTTCCTCTTCCTCATTATTAGCAGGTGGGAGGTTGGCGTTGCCTCCATTATAAGCCTGTGCCTGCATGGATGCTAACTGATGAGCCTGTAAGACAGCAATAATTAAAAGCTGTACAGTGTGTGCCAACCTATTGGACTTTCACTTATAACCTTCAAAACGACCACCTAATGCTTACTATGGTCATTAAAAGTGGTTACCCTATTTTGATTCATTTGAGAGAGGAAAAAATTGTATTCATTGGAAATGCAATGTTAATACCTGGGCAAATGTCTCCATTCCTACAGGATGAATCCTGGAGCGTTTGGAAACAATCACAAGGAGCCTGTGTGCAGTGCTCCCCAGGCTCTTGGGGCAAACCTGCTGAGAGAAACCCATGCTCTGGAAAACCACAACAGGCCCAAAGAACTGAAGAACTGAAACAACAAATTTGGAACAGAAAGTCTCTAATAAGGAACCAATTTATTTTTCTTTCTTAAAATATCTGACCTTGAGACCAACGTTAGAATTTCTGTTAACAGAGAGACCAAAAGAATATTTGTTGGTTTAAAGAAAGGTTTTTCAAACAGTCTTTATCTGAACTCTAGATAAAATTAACAAAATTAAGCTTAGGAACTTTAGGAAACTTGATATGTACAGGGGGAGGTCATTTATTGAATAAAAAACAATTGCGTGTGTATATAATATCTATACATGTAAATGTATACATATATGTATAATGTATACTTATAATTAAACATAATTATTATATATAAAATACAATTATATGCCATGGCATAAATAAGAGGCTAGATATTAAATGTTAATATAGCAGGGGTTAGTAATTTTTTTGTTTGTTCTTTTGTTTTTTGAGACAAGGTCAGGCTGGCCATGAACTTATTACATAACCCAGGCTGACCTCAAACTCACAGCATGCCTGGCTTCTTGATCTGTTTTTGTCATGATACTTCTGGCAGTCTGTTGAGGTAGAATCCTTCCTCAGAAGTATCTCTTAAATGCATACAATTAAGAGAAATAATGTTGAATAGAATTATCAGAGATATAAAAAATTCATTTTTAAAAAGACGATTTATTTGAAGGTGGAGAAGGGGAAGAGAGAGATGACAGACAGCTACTCTGGACAAGTAGGGAGTAAAAACTAATTTGAAGCTGGGCATGATGGCAAGTGCCTATATTTTCTCGGGCGGTTGCGGCAGGAGAATTGGTTGAGGTCAGGAATTCAAGGCAGCCTGCGCAACATAGTGAGACCTTGTCTCAGAACAAAAGAAGGTAAATAACCCCATAAATTTGTGTGGCTAGAGTTGCAGTTCAGTTTGTGGTAGAGCACATGCTAAGCATGTGTGGGACCCTGGGTTTAATCCCCAGCACACACACACACACACACACACACACATACACACACACACACACTCCACATACACTGTACTATTAGAATATATGTGTTTTTTACTATCATGGTAAAACCATGTAATAGCAGGTCAAGTAATATTTTTGAAAATATAATGAACATAAATAATTCTTGGAGATTTTAGCAAAACTGTGAAGCAGTATCTTCCATTTCCACTGGTGACAAAGACACAAGTAATGCCAACATTACTATAGTTTGTCCCCTGCATTTATAATGAGAGACTATGCTAAATTTGAGTTAGAGGTTAGTGAAAATAAAGATGCAACTTTTTTGTCATTTACATTCATGGATCCCCTGAGTTTGAACTGTGGATCTTACCAAGGTTAAGAGCTCTTATAATACAGGTTCTATTTGGCCTTTAGATCTCATATATATATATTTTTGTTTGTTTGTTTGTTTGTTTCAGTATTGGTGCTGGGAATCCAACCCAGGGCCTTGTGCATGCCAGGCAATTGTTCTACCAAATAATTATCTATTCCCTAAATTTTTTGAAATGTAATTATATTACCTTTATAATAAAAATATATATATGGAAGATGCAAATTAGTCTGTGTTTATATCTAGATAAAATGTCTTAAAATGCAGTCCATTCCAGATAACTAGACATTGTCTAGCCTTAGATTTCTCAAAGTAGATTTTATGGAGCTCTGTGGGTGTTAATAGCTTATATGGAAAAACTGACCACAAACAGTGACCACAAACAGTAACCACAAACACAATGAAAGCCTGGCCACAGTAGCTTAACCAAATTGACACACATTCCCACTACAGGGCTTCACAGAGCCTTTATTTATTTATTTATTTATTTATTTATTTATTTTGCAGTACTGGGGTTCGAACTCAGGACGTTGTGCTTACAAGGCAGGCGTGGTGCCACTGAGTTTAATCCCTGGCCCCTAGAGTCTTCATTCTTCAAAGATTTTTAGCGCAGCATTTCCCATGCTTGTTTAACCAGGGATTTTTTTTCTCCTTTCTTTCTTTTCTCATTCTCATAGGATTAATGCTCTTCAAATATTTGGGAAAGCTGCCCTTGGCCCAGGTGAGCCACAAAAGTCAAGTGTGTGTGACTTACACTTGAGAAAAGCCTTATGTCATAGCAATCAAGGTAAGGCCAAGTGCTAACAGTGATGGTGCCAAGACCCTGACAAATCCTCGGGCAGAAGTGTCAGAATCATGTAGAAGAAAGAAAGCATTCAGGAGTCATGGACAGCAATGTCAGAATGTAGCACACTAATGCCCCTGAGACATGCAAATATTCCCACTAGGTAAGATACATGGAGAGGTGGCCACAATCCAGCCAAGAGGTGACACTCTTACTTATTCTGTGGCAAAGAGGGCCATGCTCTTATATAAAAGCAACCCAGATATAGGTTTGGGAGTTGGAGTCAGAGCTCAGATGAGAATACAGCCCCTGTGGGGCTAGGCAGGAGCTGTGTCTCACTCTTTTCTGTTCTCCTGGAACCTGGCACAAGCCTCAGCATCAAGTGTGAACTCTGAGTCTACAGGAATGGGGTTCAGGAGACCACAGTCAGGGTCCTAAAGAATTCTGTGGGTAGGAGGCCTCAGGAAAAGCCTCAGCACAAGTCAGAGGCAGATGGAGGGCTTCAGAAATCCTGCCTGGAGCCAACCCATCCTTGCTGGCAGTGAGTTCTTTGCACAAAAATGACTGAGGCCTTCCAAGTGAGGGGTTAGGCCTGAGCACACTGGAGAAGATTAGAGCACTAGGTCCAAACCCACAATCTGCCAGGCAACTGAAAGAAAAGACTTACAGTTATGATTGGGAAACCACTGCCTATACTCCTTGGAAAATCATGATGGGGGGCTGCAAGTGGTTTTAGAAAACTAGGAATGGGATAACATTTTTCCATCTTTCTAAAACATGGGAGAGGTAACTTGTGGAAATTATACCGTGAGTAATATCAAGGTGACACCTGACAAAATTTCAGAATGATTAGTAGGTTTAAAGTTCAAATTAAGGATTTCACTGTTCTTGCGGTCCCAGACTCTACTAGTTCTGACTTAGTTCTGGAAGTCACGTTTTAAGAGTGATACATTCAAGAATATCCACAAATTTAAGAATATTCAAAATATTCTTTTAAGAAATGTGATCAGGTTCTCTTTTTTATTAGTCACTGATTAGAGTAATGGGTTTCATTATGGCATGTTCATACATGAATATAACATATCTTGACCAAAATATGTTTTTAAAATTTTCATCTGTTTTAGTACATGTTACAGTTAGTAATGATTACATTCATTGTGAGGAGGTGGTACAGGCACATAACACATCCTAATTCTTTTTATGCCTCCCTCATCTCTTGGTCCCCTTTCTATTTACAAAAGTTCTACCTTCCTGCTTCCTATTATCTTTTATTTTGCCTTTTCATTTATTTATATTTCAGGTTTCTTATATATGAGAAGCCATGGGATATTTAAGCTTATGTGTCTGATTTCTTTCACTTAACATTATGATTGATGCAAATATTCTTAATGGAAAGTGAGAAGGCTTAGCAACCACATCCAGTGAGGAATAAATGTTTATCTTTCAGAAGAGAAAAGCTGGTGGGGAAACACATGACAGTTTTCTAAATATGAAATTACTCTGTATGGTTGTGGAGGGAAGGAGAGAGACCATGAGAAGGAGAAATGGGAAGGAAGGTTTAGGTTTAGCATACAGAGGACTTTGGAAACATCGGGACTTATTTGTTTGGGAAATGGCAGCCCCATAAGTAACTACAAAGGAGAGTGAAGAACAGGAAGGTGTGAACATTCTGCTACTCCTAACATAGTCCAGGGCTACTCCACCAGCCTGGCAGTGAGGAGTGTATTGAATAAAGAAAACAGCCTGAGGACCAGAGCTCTGGAAGAAACAGTGCCCACTGCTAGGCAGCTAGTCACCAATATGGTACTTAAGGAAGGTCAGTTTGAGTACATTCATCAACACTGTAATTAAAAGACTCCCTAACAAAGCCCATCTGCCACTCGGATAACCCACTATGAGAAATCTCAGCCTAAATAAGGTCTCATTGTCTGAATGGACTACATTCTAAAACATTTTATTTGGATATAGATATAGAAGTCTTGGCTTTCTGGAACCCAATCAAATGTGAGGGCTCCTAGGGCAGCTTTGAAGGTACAGGTCTGGACCTCCTAGGGGTCTCAAACTGGTGAGCCCAGGGGCTGACTTCACCTCTCGACTGGACTTGTTTGGCTGATACAGCATTTTCTTTTCTTTTTATTTTTTAAGAGATAGGGGGTCTCACTATGTTTCCCAGGCCGTTCCCAAAGTCCTGGGCTCAGGTGATCCTCCTGCCTCAGCCTCCTGAGTAGGCGGGATTGCAGGTACATGCCACCATACCCAATGGGTGCAACAATTACATTTTGTGTGTATGTGTGTGTGATATGTTAGGGATGGAACCTGGATCTTCATGCAGGTTAAGCAAGAGCTTTACCACTGAGCTACACTTTTAGCCCTAAGTCTTTAAAAACTTAGAATTGTTCCCATACTCCTCTTCCTCCTTACCATCCTTAGCTCTCATGTATCTAGCTGGCTCCACACTTTGATGTTTTTTGCTTGACCCTAGAAGGCAGGTGATTGTGCAGTTCCTGGCCTAGGGTTGCATGTGACCTTCAGCTGGGGAATGTATATTTCCAGAGTACTCCAAGACTTCTAAGGATATTCAGTTTCAGATTTTTTTTTATTAGTAGTGTACATACTTGCAGTACATAATGTTTACATTCCTTGTGTGGAGCTGGTACATGTACATAATACATTTTAATTCCTCTTTTCATCCTCTGCAGGATCGCTTGATCCCCAGTGACACTTGCATGTCCATATTTTATAGTAGCACACTTCATAACAGCTAAATCTTGAAAGCAGACTATATGTCCATTGACAAATGAATGGATAAAGACAATGTGGTATTTACATACAATGGAGTACTACTCTGCTATAGAGAAAGGTAAAATTGAATCATTTGTAGGAAAACTGATGTACCGTAAGACCATAATGTTAAGTGAAATAAATCAAACACAGAAGCTTAAATATTGCATGGTTCCTCTTATATGAGCTTCAGATATTTTTAAAGGAGTTGTTTTCTGGACCTTCAACCTCCACATATATGTACTATTTTAAAAATAGCCCTACCTGAAACAAGCTGATAGTTGACTTCTCCCTTCCCCCTCCTTTTTACCAGTGTTCTTTTCCTGCCCTATAAAAGAGAGGCACGACCCTCACCGATCAACAATCTTAGTAACACCTGAGGCAAGACATGAAGATGTGATGGTCCTGAGAGAAAGTCCTAGTGGACTAGAGAAGCTAGTGGAAGTTGGGAGCCCTGTTTCATCTGGGCAATAAACGCATTCAAGGCTCCACAACTCTCTCTCCCTCTTCCCTTTGGTTGTCCTTTCTGCTTTCCTTCCATTTTAGAATTAAAATCCAAGATCAAGATGATCAAGATAAAGATGATAATACAATAATTATTTGAACTAAAAATATTCAGACTTTTTTTTAACAGAAATTAAGTCTGGCTGATGAATTCAATGAGGGATATATATTGCAGACATTCCTTGTTTAACAACCAACTCTGGTTCTGCAGGTTAAATGAATTGGTTGCTAAATGAGGAATTGGATATAGTATGTACATTACAACATTCAGAAGAGTCAAAGGAAACTCCAACTTGATGACTTTGCTTTTACATACATAACTCATATTCAGTACTGTAATATATAACAGAACATAAAATTACAGTATTGTACTATACAGTACAATCAGTAAAAATTACAGTATTGAATAAAGAAGGTGTAGTATACAAAAAAGACACTGAGGCTCTATAAATAAGATGTACAGAACTGTACAAAAAAAAACACAGCCAGGGGCCGGGGATTTAGCTCGGTGGTTCCACCGCCGCCTGCCTCGCAAGTGCAAGGACCCAAGTTTGATCCCCGGTACCAAAACAAAACAAAACAAAACAAAAAAACCACAGGTTGTAAGTCTGAACAGTCATTAAACAGGTAGGTTGTTAAATGAGGAATATCTATCTATATATACGATATATAGATATATATATGTTTGTATATATTTGTATACAATGTTTACATATGTGTGTATGTAAAATACATGTATATATAACAAATTATATGTTAGGAAATATAGCTTTTGTAACTATTCAAATTTGTGATAATATTTTTAAATGTGACCTTAAAAATGCATGAGAGGAAAAAATGTGTAAGAGAGGTAGATAATTTTTCAAAATTCTTGATACTTGAGCAAAAAAGTTTGAAGGCCATGGGTCTAGAGGATCCATGAGAATCCTGAGCCACTGTAGTTAGGGCATGCCTGATCAACCATGATCCATTAGGCTGGATTGATTTGAGGCCTTTCTGAAAACACCTATTTTTGTGCCTACAAGTACAAGTTTGAAGATTTTGGAGCCTTTGGCCTTACTTTCTCTCTTCCCACTATAAGGGATCAAAGACAATTCGGGCTTCGTGAGTATGGCGGGTGATACAATATAGCCATCATTTCAGCCTGAACTTTGAGCTACCCAAACTCTGTCGGTAAGCTAGAAAATCTGGGAACTCCTTGGGATTTACTGGGACAGCAGATAATAGGATGCTCCAGGGGTCTCTCCGAGAAACAGTAATGTTCCAGAATGGCAAGAAACATTGGACACAGAGATCAAGGTGTGGTATGATAAAATGTTCACAGAGTAGTCTGCAATTCTAACAGGGGTCCTATGATATACATGGGAAACATTTGGTGGGATTTTAGTGTCAGAAGGGTCCTTTGAGGCCAGTTACCATAACATTTCCATTTTACAGATGAAGAAATGGAGGCGCAGAAAATTGGTCCCTGGTCACCTGGTGTTCTTGTCTTCCAACATTATGCTGCATATCATTCTGGCTTTCAGCTCTTTCAGCTCTGCATATCATCTGGTTTTGAGGAGGCTTGATGACTGGTCCAAACTGACTATTCAACAGTATCAAACTGGATACTGGACTCATTTTGACTTGATATTTTTTTTTAATTAATCAACTAGGACAATGGTTCCAAATTCACTATACTGAACTCTGTTCTCTGAAACTACTAAAGCAGGATTGGGAGGCTTAGAGGTGGTAGCACAGAGTAAAATCAAAAGCTCTGGGATATACATAATTTGGGCTTTGGAGGCCCTACTACTGGTGCTACCCCTGTGTGGGCTGAGGCGCATGCAGCATGCAGCAACTGTTGGTGCTGTAAGTAATGTTTTAGGGCCAACAGTGTCCTTCTAAATAGGGCAAGTAGTTTTGGCAGCTGTCATTGCGTGGGCTAAGTAAGTGAGACAGGCCTATGGACTTCGCACCTTGGACTGGAATATTTTCACAGGTCCTTGGGCTGAGGATCCTCCTGATGGGTGGGTTTGTGGGGCTTGGTAAAAAGTTTCTGTTTATGAGGTGGGAATGGAAGCATCTTGGGATCAACATGCTGTGTGATGCATGGGGGTCAGATGGCTGCTGCTATTGGACTTCCTTTGCAGCCCCATATGTCCAAGTACAATCCCTAAAGGGGGTTCTCCTTAAAGGGCAGCAACAACTGCAGATTGACAACCCTGACAATAGTTATACCATCATCCTACTCAGAATAAATTAAATAATAGGGTTACCTTCTACATGAGAGTAATTTCCACAAGATAAAATTTTAGGTATGTAGGATGAAGAATTTCTCGGTCTTAAGAAATAGAAAGACAAATACATCACTTAAGGGAGTGATAATACTGAAAGGTCCAAATACTGCAATACTGATTTCTTTGTTCTGAGCACACAGAATATTCATAATCTGCTGAATGACAGAAAAGTACCTTTTGTTTTAAGATGTCCACTGGTGTCTGATGGGCCTTTAACTTCTTGTTTTTAAGAAGCACTTTCCTCCTAAGTTGGTCAGGTGAGGGAAGCATTGGATCATTGGAGAAATCAGTTTCGAATAAGAATTTAGCCACCAGCTTTTCTCCAAACACAGTCTAAAAATAATAAAGGAAAACACAATCAATGCTTTTTATCTATACTTGATAGATATATTTATATTTCATAAGTCTACTCAAGTTTTCAGCCTGGTTGAATTGTTTAAAAAGTTCCAGGAAGATGAATGAGGAAAGAACATGTTTATTCTCTCTATAGCTTCTTTCTGTAAGGAAGGGAGGTGTTTACTATGGAGGAGAGATCTAGGCTACTCTGCAGCTCGGGCCACATCTAATGATTTCGGAAAATGTTTTGGAGCCTGATGAATTAAACAAGAAAATAGAGATTCAGTTAGAGGTTGCAGCTTGTAGAACATGGTCTCTTCCCAATGAGGAAAAGGAGTCAGAAAGACAGAAACCTTGGAGGAGACTGGAAGTGGGGACAAAGATGAAAGACCATGGGGAGAATTTGCCCCCGCATAGGATAAAGAGCCATATTCTCACAAAGAATTCTGAGCACTGGTCTCCAAAGCTGAATGTGTCTCTCGAGGTGGGTGAAAGGAGGGTGATAATCAATTGAGGTGAAGACTGAAAATATAGCAATTTTTTCTAGTTATTATTATTATTATTATTATTATTGGTACGAGGGATCAAACTCGGGTCCTTGTGCTTGCAAGGCAGGTGGCGGAACCACTGAGCTAAATCCCTGGCCCTTTTCTAGTTATTTTTAAGTTAAAAAAAAAAAAAAGCATCAAAGCTTAGGCCAAGACAATATGAAGAGCTTAAATTTTGTTGGCATTTGTATTAGGGGACATTTTCCTCTGCCCTCTACTGAAAGCTAAGCTTCCACAAATGCTTGAATTACCGAGGAAGGAGAAGTTTAACGAAATATCTGCTGCTAATCCTGTCTGAATTCTACGTCCCTTGTATAATGAAGGTTGGTGTTAAAACAGCAATTGTTCTGCTCAATTTAAACCCCGTTAACTTGGATTTCTACTATAATGTGGGCCACAAGAAGATCTGACTTACTTGCTCTGAAATATTTTTGTATTTTCTACATAAAGCTCCCAGGATATCTGGCATCCCTCACTTGTGGTACCAGTTGGAGAGTTGGTCTATTCTTACCTCCTAAGGCTTTCTGGAGTTAGGAGACCAGAGAACAATGCTTATGTCACTCCAGTTGAAAAGAGGGATCATTCTAGAAGAGGCTCAAGCTCACCAAGGAGTTCTGTTTCTCAAGTCTATGTGCTTCAGGGCCAAAGTACAGATGTAGTATGGTCTACAATAGTCCCGTATAAAATTCAAAGACAAGATACCATCCTGCCTCTTAGTTCAGAGCTCACCTTGAAAATTTCTGCCATTTTTCGTTGCTGAGGCAATGAACAGTGGTTCTCAATTGATATGATGATTGGCAGGTCAGAGTTGATAAAGGCGCTGCGATCAATGGCTTCAACTACTTCCTACGACAGTCCAAACAGCTTGTTAGAGTCAGTATCTGTTCAGTGTGGTGAGAAGGCAATGTACTTGTAGCCACTGAAAGCATCTCAATTGTTGTATTCAATAGTCTGTGGCCAAAGGTGGTTTTATCTTTTCAAATGTACAGCTGTCCTTCAGTGTGTGGTGGAGGATTTATTCCCGGGCCCCCAGGGATAATGAAGTCTGTGCAATACTCAAATCCTTTTTTTTTTTGGTACCGGGGATCGAACTTGGGACTTTGCACTTGTGAGGCAGGCGGCAGAACCACTGAGCTAAATCCCTGGCCCCTCAAATCCTTATATAAAATTTTGTAGTATTTCCATATAATCTACACACATCCTCACATATGCTTTAAATAATCTCTAAGTTAATGCTTAATTCAATGTGAATGCTACATAAATAGTTTAGAGCAATAAGACACATATCACATCTATTTACGTATGTCTATAAACACAATCATCAACTCATACTTCCACCAATATATAGTGCAAGAGTTTTAATGTGCTGAATAGGTAAATGAGCTAAAGAGAAAATATATTTTAGCCTTATCTCTTCATATAACATGAAAATAATAATATTCCTTCTCAACCTGACAACAGTTCAGAGAAAAATATTATGTAGCCTAAGACCCTCTGAGTGAATAATAATTTTACAGCTGAACTACTAAGCTACCCAGAATTTGAAATAATAATCCAATGAGACAAGTCTTCCTGGGTGACTATTCTTCTGAGGTGGAACTCATTCTCATTATTTTATAATGCTAATTATTTAATAATCTAACACATGATACTGGTCTTTGTCAGCAGGACACCAGGACAAATGACCTTTAATTCCTATAGCAGGAGACCAGTTTCTGCATTTTTATATCATTATGTCATGCAAAAATTGCAACAATATCATTCATTACATCCTAAATAACATAAGTTAACTAAGGAGTTTCTAAACTTTGGTTGAATAAGAGTCTAATGAGAGTTCTAGAATCAACTCCCCCAAAAAAGAACGTGAGTATCCCACATAGCACTGTAAATACTTTCAATAACTCTTCATTCAGATTCAGCATAAGAAACTAAAACTTAAGGTAGAATTTGGTAGAGTGACTAAATGACAAATGAAGATAATGTCCTTTGTGATTTGATTGGAAGATATTATAGACAGCTAAATTAGATAGAAATTAATATGTAGCCAGAGGGATTGGGCCCTTGAGAAAATCAGCACAGAAGATGAGACACACCAAGATTGTGGCTAGAGGCGAATCTAAAGAGAACCATGTCTCAAAATGAAGATGCAATAGCCAGGCCTGCAGGCCTCCCTAGAGATAAACAGAATTTGAGATTATAATGTAATTAGCACCACCTGGACCAGTGAGGCCAGATAGGCATCATAGGTGGGTGACCAAAACATTTGGACTCATACTCCCACCCCTTTCCAGGAATGCCTTTGCTCTTTCCATATACCCTAGCAACATGACTTGTTTTCCTAATTGGATCAATGTTAGCCATGTGACCATCCTTGTAATCCTATAGGTTGACTGTAGTTTGACCTTTGTACCCATGCTGTGATTTTTGCTGTATAAATTATCCCTGACAGACTTGGGACCTCTCCTGGAAATCCAGGAGCTGTTCTCCTTATTTCCAATAAAACTTTCCTAACTTCCCCCTTAGGTTCAAGACTTCATTGTCATTGTGAGACCATGAACTTGGCACATCATCACAAAGGGAGTGCTAAAGCATTACCTTGAAGGGGATCTTTGTTGTCAGTGTATGTCCATGATAAATGATGGGCATTCCATCATCTCCATCCCAGCAGTCCAGCTCTATGCTCCTGCAGCCTTGCAAGAGGACCTGTGTGACCAATGAATGAATCCACTTGAGATGAACACCTGGAGATAAAGCCTCTAACTGAATCCACCACATAGCTCTATACATCAACATTTACATTCAGGTATAAGGCAGAAGGGTATAAGATTTAAAATAAGTATTTTATTTTGGATAAAGGCCACAATTAATCAGGGGTGGGAAAAGGAAAGAACAGATTACGTTGGAAAAGAGTGTTTACCAGAGCTGAATATTACTGGAAGGTAAAATCAATCAATCAATCAATCTATCTATCCATCCATCTATCCATCCGTTGGAGCAACCTCTTCCTCCATAGACTTTATCTATAAATTACCTTAAAATTATCATATAAACAGGGCACGATGCCACAGGCCTATAATCCTAGCACTCTGGGAGACTGAGATGGCAAGTTTGAGTTCAGCTTGGGCATGTTAACAACTTAATGAGACGCTGTCTCAAAATAAAAAATAAAAAAAGCTGGGAACATAGGTCAGTTTGAAAGCTCTGGGTTCAATCCTCAGTCCCAGAAAAAAAAAACCCTCAAAACAAATAAATAAACCAAGAAGTTGATATATCTGTGACTGGGATGACCCACTGATCTGAGAATCCATGTAACTATTTCCAAGTGACAGCAATCCATTATTGGATTTTAGTGGCCACTACAGTTTCTGGAACAAAAGTCAGATAGTGGAATGGTGTTACAGTATGTGTTTAGATGTCCCCCCAAAGCCTCATGCAGATAAAGTGGGACTTTCTTTTTCAGAGGTAGTTGAATCTGGAATGTGTGATGCTGAGGTAAAGGGCATGTGATTACTAAAACACCACATGTGAGTGATTAGTTTGGCACTGTCCTAGTCCCAGTAGTCTGAATAAAAGTGGCAGAAAGATTGGGTGAAGCTCTTTCTTGTTGCTTTTCCTGTCTTTTGCCACCGTGAACTGAAGCCCCCTTATTGCCTTTGCTACCTTTTGCATGCCTTGTTGTTTCTCCTTTATGAGGCCTATTTGCTATTCCTGTCTTGGAGCTAGCCAACTATAGACTAAAACCTCTATGAACTGTAAGCCAAATAAACCCCTTCCCCTCCAACTTTGGGTGTTGGGTATTTTGTCTCAGCAACAAGAAAAAAGTAACTAACACAAATGCCTCTTATTTAAATTTTTTTGGTAAATACATGCTAGATTCTTCCCATTACACAGCATGGACTCCGGCTATCAGCTTCTGGCAGCAACTAGTATATCCACAGGTAAATTGCCTTGGGCTAATGATTGCTATGTAATACAGTAACTGGAACACAAGGCTGCTTCATCTTTGTGGGGAGCCTTCTAAACTAGGAAAAATGGGCAGCATGGTTTTTCAACATGAAAAGACTAAAGGTCTTTATCAACATCTGTATGACCTTAAGACCTTTCTATATGGCTAGAATAGGAAAATCAGGGCTGGAAATTCCAGGTAAAATGAATGGGGCTTACTCTCACTTTCCATCTGCTTTACAGAGAAAAATGAGAGGAGGTAATTATGAGGCTCAATGGAGAGTGGGGAGTATTTAGAAATGAAGTAAAAGTAAAATTGATCTGCATATGAGTTTAATGTGTGTGAGTCTACTTGAGGGGTTCTTGTGCCTTATTAAAAACTATGATCAAAGATAAACTTGAGACATTTATAGCTAAATGGATGCACCTTGAGGCCATACTCAGAAGTGAAATAAATAGGACACACATGTGTAAATACCGAATCATTTCTCTGGTGTGAGAAACTGAAGGTGTAAATGAGGACCAAAATGTATAATAGATATTGTGAAATAGGAAGAAAATGTTTAAAGGGAAAGGGGAACTGGGGCGGTGGGGGGAGTCAGGGGGAAGGAAAGAAGGGAAAGAAAATAATGAACGTAAGAAGGAAAAAATGGAAACAACGCTTATGTATATGGGGGGGTGGAGGGGTTGAAGGGAGTGCAGGGGAATGGGGAAAAAATAAGAATCAAGATATATCATGTACAGGTACAAGTTCTCAATGATGAATGTGATCATAATGTATACCTAAATGTACCAATAAACTCAATAAAAAAAACAACTATGATTATCTTTGGTATATGTGCTGCTGAAGTGAGCGTGATCATCTATACTTGGAATGTAACATTAAGGGGGTTTAAAAATTTTTCCCAGGCCAGGGATTTAGCTCAGTGGCTCTGCTGCCTGCCTCGCAAGCGGAAGGACCCGAGTTTGATCCCCGGTACGAAAAAAAAAAAATTTTCCTCCCAAGTACTGAGTCTTTGGAATGAACTACATCCCCAGCTCTATTTACGTTTTTTTGTTTTGTTTTGTTTTTTCTTTTTACAGTACTGGGGATCAAACTCAGGGCCTTGTGCTTGCGAGGCTGGCGCGGTGCCACTGAGCTAAATCCCTTCTATTTAAAATTTTGAGACAGGGTCTTGCTAAATTGTCCAGGCTGAGTTCAAACTTGTGATTATCCTATCCTCAAACTGCCAGAGTGCTGTTTAAAAATTCTTTGAAACAATGAAGTCAGATTGAAGCTAAGATATTGGTCCTTGATTATTTTCCTAGAATACAAACACACACACACACACAGGTTTGTGTGTGTGTGTGTGTATGTATATATATGTGTGTGTGTGTATAAAATATATATTCACATATATGTCTATATATACTCATATGTGTATGTACATGTATGTACATATGAAATATATATAACCTGTATTTTTATATATGTCTTTCATTTCTTTTCCAAAAAACAACAAATTTCAAACTTCTTTTCACTTTGGATTTCTCTGTGCAAATAGAAGGCCAACTCGCAGAAGTGGGGCAAGGTATGGACCCTTCCTACTTTATAGCTTTTTTTCTTGCAGTTGAGACCCCCCTGACAGATTCCTTTTTTGAAAATTATTACTCTAAGGATGCATTTTCATTTCATAATAAAGCTTCCCTAGAAAACAAAGTTTAATGAATAATTGATAATTTGAAATAGGAAGAAAAGGTCCAAAGGAGTAGGGGAAGTGGGAGGGGAAGGGGAAAGGAAAGAAGGGAAAGGAAAAAT